ATGGATGAAAGCACACCGTTACAAAAATTAGTATTTTCCAACTCAAACAGATTGTATCGCTCGAGGAATCCATGCATCTTGTCAGCTTTGTGTCGCTTTTTGTCGCATTCATAGCTAACATGTTCCGGTTGAGCAACTGTTCTTTTCCGATATGATCCACGTTTGCACGCGCAAACATTTCATTCTCTCACCTAGTCTGACTCCACTCTCTCTCTCTCTCTCGATATCTGCAGACCGTTAGAAGTTGAAGCGATTAGTTTAATGCACAAACCCGCAAGATTGTCACTCTGACAGATTGCAAAATCTATTGTCTTGTAATCAATGAGATCAGTTAGAATTCTCATAATCACATTACTCAAGAATCGGGAGAGTAATGTCGATTGTTCTATCGTTATACGAGAAATAAATTGAATGATTATCAGACTGGTGTGACACGAGAAATGGCACATGCATTCAAATGCGATGTAAACGTTTGTGATAAGCAACAAAGGGTACTGGACAGCTGTTTCGTCCTGTTTTGGGCTCGTAAGCAGTGCGTAATTTTTGTGTCCCTGTCAGGACTCGAACCACGATTGTTCGGGCTGGGACTTCAAACCCTTACCCCATTTGGCATTATCTACGTACGTAAAGCGGACACAGATGCTGTATGTGCATCGGGCTTTCGGATCATGCGAATTCAGCCTGTTGTTCTGTCGGTGAAAGACGGGAAAACGGTTCAACTAACACTACTAGCATGATAAAAGTACATCACACTAACAACCCAATCACCCGAATTGTTCAGCCTCAAACTGGATGGTCCATACAGCACATGCGATGGAACACCGACGCGCAATACCGAACAGCATGTGGGGCACATCCCGCTCTTTCACATACCACTCACAAAACTCTCTCCACCTCAATGTAACCATCGTGCCATAAAGCAAGCCATAACAAGCGTTCCGACTTCAGATGTGCATTCGGCGATCACAGTGAGGGCACGATAACAGATGTTCACAAATGCCATGGCAAAGTGAAATGTGTTGGTTAACTTCGCGTCCCTGCCTGGATGTGATTCAATGGTATTTCTCGAAGACCTCAGGTTTGATAACCCACTTCGCATGTCCCGAAATTGTCAAGCCCAATTGTGGCCTCTAACTCGCAAGCCCACGATCAAACAGCTCACACATGTGCAAATAATCCGTCAATTTGGTGATGCGACCAAAACAGCCAAGGCACGACTGTGGCGGTGAATTGTCTGGGCATGCCTCGTCCTCTCGCTCTCTGTTGCGAAGTCCAGTGTGATCACTCAAACAAGTACTGCTGTCAGAATGACATCTAATCCCCCTATCTTCCTCCTGGTTGTCTCGTGAGTACCGAGTGTTTTGTGTATGCAATGTGCTCAAGTGGCAATCGGTTGAGATGGTTTGAATCGACCCGATATTGCACTTCTCTATCAGGGTGAATGAGCAGAGCTTGTATTGCGTATTGCACTGCCTCCGAAATATTTTCCAATCCGATCGCTCAACTATTTTAGTTGTAACAATGCACGGGAAATTGTTCTCCAGTTCAGTCATTTTCAAACTATGAACAATCTCGTTCGTTGATATTCGATGTTACTTGTTTATANGAAATTTGTAAAATACGTCCTGTCGTCATATGTTTTCACTACCTCTTATTATGGAAACAGCCCTATCCTCGTGCGAGGATAGCGGCATCGATTTACTGCCAGGTGGCAGGCTGTCTGATCTACAGTATGCAGACGACATAGTGCTACTAAGTGAACATCCAGGTAAGTTACAAACCTTTCTAAATAGTTTGAGTGCTAGTGTCACCAGGTTCCGTATGCGTTTCGCACCTTCAAGATTGGGTTGGTCCATCACCCAGTTTCATTCTAACAAGATAAGTAATAGAGCAAGTGGATAAGATCTGTTACTTGGGCAGCTAAGTTTCACCCGGTTTACACAGCACTGATGAAGTGTCAGCTCACACACGGCAGGCTCGTTTGGCATTTGCCTAATTGAGACAACTGTGGCGACGTCGTGACATCTGGCTGTCTGTGCAGGGTCGAGTATATGCAGTGGCAGTTCGACCAGTTCTGCTATACGGCGCCGAAATTTGGGCATTAGGGTAACGGGATAAAGATAGACTGTCGGTTTTCGAACACCGGTGTCTACGCAGCATTGCACACATCTGGTGGGGCAGCCGGATGAGCAATCCTGAGGTTAGGCGCAGAAATTCAGGTAAATGCGGTCACTCAGTGAAGCAAATGGTCGACCTCCATAGATCACGTTGGTCGGGGCATGTGTTACGCATGTCACCCGATAAGTTGCTACGGCGATCGATGTTCGCCGAGGTAGGTCGTGGGTGGAGGAAAGTCAAGGGTGGTCAAGCTCAGACCTGGCCTCAGGGTATAAAATCCCTAACCACGAGTCTGGGTCACATAGGTCCCATTAGGCTTCCTGGCTCGGGACCTAAGGATGATCGTAATCGATGGTGAAACACATTGAGTGATATGGCTGGGTGTCGTGAACAGTGGCGTTGGTGCATCTTGTCAATTTCTCGGAAAAATTAGTGCAATGAAATTCTAAATTTTCTCTTCGAACCTACGTTGAACCTATTCTGTCCTCCTCCTGTTCTTCACCCAAATTGGCAGCCAAAATACAGCTAAGAAAACAGGCTCACGAAAGTGCATTGCTAGTGGTTGTACAAACTGAACTGAACTGAACTGATTCCCAAAAGGGCGAAATGTTTGGTAGACAATATGTCAATGTGATTTGTGATCTCATAGACTGGATGCGAGGTTCCTCCAGGTGGTTCAATAATCAGGTCACTGAGGGTTAAAGAGAATAAAGGGTGCGGCGGGGGTGGTTTAAGTCACCAACTCCCAGGTGCAATCTGTCAACAAGAGATGTGGCAATAACCGATAGGAAATGATCATAAAATGTGTCAATGTCTGATAACCCACAATGGGGTGCAATGTATAAGCTAGTGATATCGAAAGAAATCGAATTTTGGGTGACACGCGACATTGAAGCAATCAACGCCATTTTGTGACTACGGGAGAAGTAATTCGGACTTGTCACATCAATTGGAATCGATGTTGGTAATCACGCCACTTCCCAACTTCTTCCTAAACCGTTGACTATCGTGCCTGAAAGATACGAAACTATCCATTCAGATCACAAAATTGTCCACAGTATCACTGGGCCACGACACCTGAACACACACGTCACAAAAGATGTGAGATTCCTTTCACTCGAACAGGTAGAATAAATCTGGAAGCTTCTCAAACATGGAACGGACAATGTTACTCAAAATGGTAGGTACAGTCATCTTGCTGGGAGTAGTGAGCCCGAGAGCAGTTTGCCGACCGGCACAAATGCGTTTTCCGCGGTTAGAGTATTTGTGCGTTTGACTAGCGACTGGCACTCCCAAAATGGCATTATGGTTTTTCATAACAACATCATTAATTTTTTTCACGTGAATTCTTTTGTNTGTGTGGTAAAGCACGCATAATAAGCAATTGGGTAGATAAATTCTAGAACGCGATAGTTGTGATGAAATTGTAGTGCAGCGTTCCAAAGGGACTGAGCGCGATAGTTCCCATGAGGTCTTCACGTAATTAACGACCTCGTCCATACTACACAATCAGATTTCCAATTCTATTCTATTCTATTCTCAACATAGGTGTTGATTTGAATGAGCATATTTTCCATCACACAATTGCTCCTTATGGTGTTGTGTGGTGGTTGATGAGAGCGATTGAGTAAATGTTTTTGGGAAAATCATAAGACCTATTCTTCGCTCTATACTATGGTGTTTTGTGTGTTTGGCCCCATTTATTCTGGCTCGATCCCGAACTAAGTGAATTCGACGAGAGTTATGCGGGTAGCATGCATGCTTTCGTATGCACTGAATGAACTGTAGATCGACAATGCATTCTTTTGACTAATGGTCGTTTACTGTACTATATACTTCAGCACCACTGCTTCATCCAAGGCAATCATATTGGAGAATCGGTTTTCGAGAATGTCTCCGTCATATTGCATATTTCGTGGAAGAGATCACACGGTTACTAACATCACGAGTTTCCAACTGAAACGCATTGTATCGCTGCACAAATCCATGTGTTAAGACCGGGCTAGCGAAATCTATCCTGTTATCAGATGTCAGTGTTGCGCTAATATATTTATTGAAACATAATATAGTTCAACAACTACACAAATGTCATAGATGTACCAAGAGAGGAAAACTAAGCTTCCGTCGGGCTCACCAAACGATGTGCGTCGATTACAGATAGTCGTGATGAGCTTCTAAACTGGTCCTGTAACTCGCAAATAAGCCTCTTTCAACTGGATGAACTAGAAGACTTGTGGTTGTGACAGATGTGTGTTGAAGTACCGTGGCACAGGAAATCTGATGCTTGCGCGCTATACAAGATCTGCATTCAGACACGAAGGCAACGCGTATGAACGAGCACGAAATCACGCAAATCGATCGGAAGCGAACGTGCAGTGGTTAGTAATCGTGTAAAACAAATGTCACAGTGCATTGTCACTAGAATAAAATTGTGCAAATACAATTAGATTGTAGAGAAAATTGATATCCGACAACTAGCCATTGTTTTCAAGATGAGTGAAATACGTGGAATCCACTGGCGTGTAGACTAGTTTGAATCACTCAATTACTCAACTTAATAAAATTCATCAAGTCGGTCAGAGACACCTGTGCCGTGGAAGGGAACCAAATGTTTTGCGATATCGAAACCATGAGACGGGGAATTATGCTGTTCAGCGGGTGTTCCGATTGTGCAGCTCGATCCACCTGTCTAGGTTGAGACGTACTCCATTGGTTAGGGAAGAGGAGTGTGCTGACCGTGCTCTCATTGGTTCGGTTTACTCGTCCTTACAAGGTGATCTCAATCCTGATTGGTGGTTCATTGTTATTTAGAGTTCAGTGAGCTAGATTAGTTGTTTCTTCCGGTGTCGTGGTCCGTCAGTTTTGTGTTTGGTTTGCTCACCATGGGTTACGTGTACGCGTCGCACAAGGAGAAGGTCGTGAGTCGTTCATTCCACTTTCATAGCACACTTGTAGTGCTGATTTCCCTATGTCGTGGGTCTGTCTAATTGATTTCATATCACGTAGATCATGACAATTGAGTAGTACGTCAATAAGTTGTTTTTCGTTGCTCTCGTGATGTGGCCTGCAATCATTTACAGTTTTTCTATTGAGGTTTAATTCTCACTTTTATCAGAGTAGGTGGTACAAGTGATGTCAGCTCACCCTTTCCAGACCGCACGTGACAGCTCGGTTGGTCTATGGACATGGGCGATGTGTTATTGATGGAACAGTATCGCGCTTAACTCGTTCTAGGTCAGTGATGGCTGTTGTTCGTGACCGGTGACTACGATCTGAATCTTTCCGGGTCGGTCAGTTGTTTTTCGTCCTTGCCTGGAGGAAAACCACTGCGCTGGTCACATTTTAACAAGATTCGCATATTTGCGAACGTTGATCGTGATTCAACTCAGGGCCGCTTTGGCTTATGTGGAACCGTTTTGGAAAACCAAATGTTCTTGTAATAAAAATTGCTTCGTTCTGATTTGTATCCTCCACGGTATGTCTCTGCACTCTTACTCTAAATGCATGTCAGGTTATTTGCCATCGAATTTGCAACTCAGATTAACATTGTATTTTTTGCTTGTCAGTTCTACGGCATTACTGTGGGTGACTCGGGATATCATTTCCTGGATGTGGTGATAGACCATGGTGAGTAATTACGTAACTGGAACAATGTGGAATATGTTCTTACGCTTTTGATACCCATGTAATTTGGTCCATTCTGCAATTGATGCATTTTATTCGTGAGATGAGATATATTCTGAATGTGAATTTGTATAACATTTCGTTTACAGCCGTTGCGTGGTTTCCTGTTGACGATAGCGTCTCAAGGTATCCTAGTGATAATTACTATGCATGACTGAATAGGAAGTCTTCGCGCCAATGGGGTTCGCCCCTTCTGCCATTCATTACCAAGTTCACACAAAATATTTGTATTAGAAGGAATGGCATAGATAGACAATGAACGGGATCAATCATATCTCAGACTTGTTGAGTTTGACTATCGTGAATGAAATTAGGCTGGTACTCTGAAGGTAACTGCTCACGTTGCATATCTCGCCCATTTCTACAGATTCCCTCTGGGGTTATGTGTATCGGAGAGGCCAAACTGTAGCCACTGTGCCGGAGAGCGACGAAAACGTGATGAAAGAAGAATTGACGATGTTGGTGAGTGAACGTTGGCGAGTGATCACCCGGTGTCAGTATTAACATCTCGTCCATTCATCACGGAATGTTCGGAGTAGTGACCGATTAACCGCTTTCTATCTGGCGTTCACTATACAGTGTTGCTCAGACACAGATGGTCGTTCACATGTCTCATCTGTACACGTGGTGTGACCTAATGGTGTGCGCAATGTTGCGTGAACACTGATTGTATCCTCTAGAAGTGTGATAAGTTGTTCCTAGTGTATGTGTATGTGTATGTGTTGTAGGACTGCGAGTGCAGTGCTTCATGTGACACTGATGTATATTTTCATCGAGGTTCCTTTTGTTATTTGCGTGATTTATCTAAGATATATCCCCACAAGTGATGCAACACTACTTCTGGAAGAAGTTGATGTCACGTTTTTACGTTTTGTCATGCACCGGTTGTTTTGGTGTTGTACTACAACTCTCCACGACATAGTATTACTTGTTTAGCTTGGATTTCTGGGGAACGTTCCAGCAACTACTCTAGCTTCAGTCTGTTAGCGAGAAACGTCGATCTGCTTCACTTGAGTGTGAAGACGAGCATTGATGATAGTTACGAAGATGATCGAATAGTTTGTCCTTCAACGAGTCGAGCAATTCAGTTGCTAGTATTGCAGAGAACATATATCTACAATTGAGCATAAGTAATCACAAGCAACAAGTTGAATCTCCTCTTATTGAGCGCCAGTATAACCATGCTTGAATGAGCACAATTGCATGGACCATATTTAGTGTTGTGACTTTCTCCATTTGTGTGTTGTATGGCAGCCCTCTGATTGGCCGCTTCCCCCTTCCTGAAAATTGTATCTTTGTATATTCAATAAAAGGAAGTAAAATGAAAAAGAAATGAAAAAAAGAAAAGATACACGACGTAGATGAATACTGTCATTGAATCTCGTTCGTGCCGGATTCTCGGGTTCCGGTGCACATGTGGATTGGCAACATGCTGTTCAGCACTTTCAAAGTTAAACTCTGGCTAAACCCATTTACCCTTGAGTCGCAATACGATGAGGTTAATAAGGAACGGAGCCGCCGTGTTCTCATTTCGCTTATTGAGGTTTCGAATTGATTGACAGTGAATCACCTACTCAGTACCATAACCGATCAGTTGCTCTGAAATGTGCAGCACAAAGTGATGATTGTGATCTGTTTGGAGAAATGTTGATGTATGCGGATATCATCCGCTGGATAGGAGCACTTTAGATGTTTCAATGGAGATTGTAATGAACACAAACAGTTTCCTTCAGCCGTTTGAGACCCCGTGTGAATAGTGAAGACCGTGAATGATGCTCGGTGGTCCTGTCTTGGCGCATCAGCTTATGATGTAACTGATACTTTTCTCTGTCACTTGTGAAGAGGTGCGAATTATGCAACCCAAATGAACCGTAACTACTTCTAGGATCTCATGTTCGTTATTACCCGGCCATAGAGACAACGTTGTTGCCTTGAAAGATTCTGCTCTATTCTGCTCTACGATCGTCGGTGTTTCCACGTCACCCCAATTTTAAGGAACCAACGTGTAGCATCCACACAGGGGACTTTTGTAATGATGACCATTTGCTTCGTGTGGTCATTTCTGATCACGCTCCACTGTCAGATTTGACAGATTACAGGATAAGGTGCTCTTTTGTTGTTGGGAAATCCTCATTGTTTGGAATAAAATGTGTTGTTTCTGTGAATCATTTGCTTGCAGATGGACCGCGTGTATGAGCGTGTGATGGGGGAAGCACTGGGTAAGCGATTCGAAGCGACCGTGCTCGATTCCGATCCAATCGGTGCTCGAGTGCAACTTAGTGCTCAGTTGGACAATGGGGAATTGTTTTGGTCCAAGCGGACTGAAATACGGAACGCGGTTCTGCAAATTGGATTGGAGATATCGGGTGAGTTGATGGTTTGATCGGAGGGACAATGTTTCGTGCAGTATTGAGGATGACTATTCCTTCAGCGTAGCGTAGCTGCAGTCCGATATTGTAACATTGCCGAGAGCTACCGTCATCTTTCTTCTCATTCCCTACTTATACTTCTTTTCATGGAAGTATGCAGTGGTTGCTTGTGCAATTCTTTCTTCTTTCGAATCTTTATTTGTGTCAACCCTATCTCGGGCGACGTTTGGTTATTTCGGCAGTTGCGTTCTGCGATCAGCTAACGCCGGGAGAGTAATCATGCGTCAGTCTTGTAACTTGCCGAGCCACCAAGATTCACGGGAAAGTAGTAACGGTGCCTCGTTCTGCAAATCGTAATATGTAGTGTGCATATCGGAGCAATCAGAATAACATGCAGTGGAACAGATGATCGAAGTCGTGCTGAACACCATTGTGTGACGGACAGACTGGGACCACTGGAGCAAATTAGGAGTCGTCACAGGACTATACCCGGGCGGATAATGAATCGATGGTAGGCAGGTAGGATACCAAACATTGTGGAGGGTTTGTGGAATAGCCGTGATAGGACTGGTCTTATCAGTCACACTCCTGCAGCTTATCTCATCAGTTACGTATCATTGCATATCTATCAATGGTCCCATTATCCACATCGTGTCATGGGGACCGTCGATTTCGGAATTGAAATCATGCTCTAAATGTTAGTATTTTTTGTACACACTGCACACTCATCCGCCATGAAATTTATTGATCGGCGCGGTGTTGATGTGGTTGATGCGACGCTCTGAGCAGCTTTTCGAATATTGAAGATCGGCTTCACAGAACCCGGATCGTTATGAATCGAACACAATGCATGACTGATTCATATGATCTGAATACATCCCGATTGTCCTCATCAAGTACAACTATATGTGGTTTAACACGATCTATTTTTGGTTTTTCGTCCCCTCACAGAATCGAAAACGGTTGGTAAGTCAGAATCATGTTTCGATTGGTGATAACCATTGAGTTGGAAGTTGGGTTGTGATGAGTGTTTTCGAGACGCTGTGTGATTGCGGTTTTCATCACCATCTTCTCGTTTACGGTTCCTCGTAGGAGGACGCGAACCTCCATTTTGGTTTAACCAACCTTGGGTGCAGTCGGGATACACTCGTTCGCTGGTTCATTTTAGGTCGATAGTTTTGTGAACTTTTTCCTCTGTTTCGAGGATTCTTTAGCCGAGAACCATGAAGACAAAAGTGTCTAGTTTGCGAGTTTGCGATGTTCGTGTTTTCGTTTCTCCTACTAGTAGCGGACGATTTTGAGACACAATCGATTTTGAGTACGCAACACTTCACTGTTTGATCAGCAATGACGCACGAAAGTGGATTTCAGATGAAGGAACCCGTGAGAACTGGGAGCAGTTGATTACATTCGGTGAATTTCTTTGTTCGTGAACAGCATTTGTAGCTCTGTGATTCACTGATTTGGTCCATACCACGATTCGCTCGTGTTATGGTGTTTTTCCAACTGGCCGGTTTCCATTTCGTGTTGGTTTGTTTATGCGTTGTTTATCCGTTGCCGTGCTCCATGCTCACAATAGATTTCTGTTCACATTGTCGTCTGACTGTGAGCGAGTGGTTTGTTGTGAACATCCGCATAACGACAGGGTTCCCGGTTGTTCTCTAAAGAGAGAGAGAGAGAGCTGTGAATCATTCAGCATGGAATGAAATCGTCCTGCCATCATCCCATTCCCCAGAATGACCACTGATCATGTGAGTCGATGTTCATAAGCGAGGTCGGACAGTGATTTGCATTTTGTCCCCAGTGACGATGACAGTGGACCGCTTATGTAGAATCCATTCATTGCTTTAGGGTAAAGTTTCAAAAAGCGTGAAGTAGAAACAGCACGGTAAAACTGTGATACGCTTGTTTTCGATCTCGTGAGTAGTTTTGATACTCAGCTCAAATGGAGCAATTTGTTCGCGCTGGAAAATGTGTCAGTAGTGCATATATAACCGTTCATCTGAGGAGAGGAGTAATGCGAATCCCTCACATGAAGTGTTGTACACTTCAGATAGGGATAGCACAGAGCCAACAGAAACGTGCACCGGCTGGCATAGTTGAATTGTGCAGACTGACCGTAGCTCGTCGTTTAGATGGGTGAATGAGGATGTAGTGCACTCTGGAGGCACACTTTCGGGCTGGATAGGGGTGAGCTTTCCAGAGTGTGAACGGTCGTTGTTTGTCATCGATTGATTTGTTGTCCGTCTTAGGGTTTTTTTGTTTTGCTGATTGTCCTGTTTGTATGTATTTCGTTGCAGAGTTGTATTTGCACGGGCTAGTGTACAAGAATGGAGAAGTGGCCCCCTGGAAGAATGCTTACAACGATCCAGAAGGGCCGACAAGTCAGGTTCTTCATGAACAATTGAAAGAAACGGTAAGTGGGAACTGTTCATTACATGTGTTATATGTATGCCGGATGATGCGTCACTTTTCGGTAGGACGTGTGCTTCTGCTTGCTCTGGGCTGATGGAAAGCCTAGGTTGGGAAGTAACTGCTTGCGCAAGTACACTGATTCTTTGATCAAACGCATATACTGATCTTTCGTGGTTCTGTTTGTTGTTGGCATTGCGTGTTCTATGCGTTGATTCCGGTGATACTTTTGGTGTACTTTCTGGTTCAGCATTGATTTCTTTCTTTTCATTGATTCCTGTAGCTGTCGCGAGCGATTCAAGGTACGCCGAATATACCGGACTCTGCGGTCGGGCATGTTGAATTATTGGACGTGAATTCGATTGTGGGTGCCCAGGTTGTAGTGACAGTGGATGAGGATAAGTATCCTTGGGAGAGTACTGAGGAAGTGCTCCTTCAGATGAACAGGTCGATTTTCAGTTTTGGTCTGAAATCGATGCGGAGGGATCAGTTCAGTTTCATGCGGTTGGGCGATCCCCATGTTCTCAGGTGTCTCAGGGATAAATGGTCCGCTAAGAAGGCACATTTCCAGTGAGACCATCGGAGGGTTCCCATTTGTGGTTCTCGAATTCTCATGTTTTCGTCATGTTGAAGGGAACGCCGCCGAATTGAATTTGCCTGTTCGGCTAGCTCCGCCGGCTTTTCGTTCGTCTTGTGTTTCCCATCCATTGGTCGAATTTCTACAGACAATAAAATTTAGTTGCGATTCAAATTATATTTTCATTCTGTTGTATAATTGCTTCGCTTAGTATTACCACCTATCGGGACATGGAGTTGGGGTATACCAAAGCACAACAGGTTGGGTATCGCGTTTCGCCGGGCTTCGTAGACCCTCGGTAGAGCCATATGCTGAACTGCGGACCGGATGAAACGTACCCTCAATCGTTCATATGTGAGTCCTCGTGAATGATGACGTACGCTCTCAGCCACATTACTGATTACCCGTCATCGGGACATTGGAATGACGTCGACCTGTCTGGTCCTATGTTGCTGTTTATTTTCCTATTGGCAATTGTGTGGAATGTTAGATTTTGATGTGTGATTGCTCTCCGCCTTGGTTCCCGTCGGCGTGCATGCATCATTGTGTTGCTTCTGTTCCCGTTGATGTTTCACGGTAATTCGTTCTTTAACCACGGCTGAAGCGCTGAACTCGGTAAAATTCGGGCGTTCTTGAACCCGTACCGCGGAAGCTGTACTTCCCGTGGCCTGATTGGCGTTTATCAAAACCATCTGATTGTAGGTCACCGTTCCCGTGCTGTAAATTGAGAGGAACGCCAACGGTATATGGTATTGTCCGTTCAAACCGAATAAAATAACAATCAACGGGAACTTCCTGGACTAGTGCGGTCAAATCATTGAGTTGGTCAGGGTTTGTTTTGATTTCAATGCCAGATTACCGGCCCATACGATTTTGCATTTCCGTCAGTTGTTGATCCACTCGACAAAGTACTCGCATGGGTTCTCTATCTTCTGTGAAAGCGGAGTGTAAATGAATCCAGTTTTTTGTCCGACTCCGTACATCTACAGAACGGCATTGGTCAGATTGCTCACCTAGATAGGTTCGCAAAATCCATGTTTGCCGGAAAAACAGTTTAAACTGTACCTACACGGTGTGAGCACAAGAAACATACTGCGACCAGATTGTCGATTTGAATTCCTTCATTGTGTGTTTTTGAATGTGTTTCATACAAAATAACCGGGATGCCGTTGGTCACCGTAGGTTTTACAAGCTGCTTAACCAAGCTTTGTGGTTCTTTAGTAGGCATTGTCTGTACTAATCAGTACAGACGCATGGCATAGAAGAGAATAAACGCTGGTCTCAAATCACAGTTAGGTTTCAGCTTTTTACGCGATCTCCTGAACCAAATGGAAACACAAGCGGGACTATGTCTAAACATTCAATGCAGAATGATTCCTCCACAACTTTTGCAATTCCACTCGATCGAGACATTTCAAACCGCATCGGGTCTGCCATACCCATTCAAGGCTCAAGCGTCCTGGCCTTGTCTGTCTAACCGCAATCCAGCAGATAATTCTCAACTTCTTGTTGAGGCACGGGAACGGAACAAGGACTCAGATACAACGTCGTTNGAATTGCTCAAGCCTGTTCACGGACGGATGCTTCGCAACCAGGTTGCACCAGGTACAACAAATTTTCTTATAATCGTTCGGTCGGATATGCCAATCTATACCGTTTTCCTTCAAACACAAAATTATTTTGCATCAGAGCTCTGAGTTTCGCTGGGTTAATCAAGTATATCAGACACAATGTGTGCTATAATGTTCAGGAATAGTCGATCGCACACTGTCACGTTAAACGACACAGTCTTGAATTGTTGGCATCTTGGTACTACTCAGTGAAAATGAGTCATGGTCGCGTTAACCTAGGTGCATCGTCCTTGACTGAGTGAATACGAGATTTCAGGTAGTGAATCAATGGATCAGTTGCACATCGATTAACGACCAGTTGAATACGCATCAGCAAGTGTGACATTCTGAGGTGATATGTGGTAATCCGAATAGTATTCAATGTAGAAATATGAGAACGCGTACCTCAGTCTGTTTGGAGTTATTCACTCAATGAACGACCTTGTCCAAAATAAAAACTTCACACATATTCGGAACTGATTTCCAATTCTTTTCCTTTCTCAGAACAAGTTTATATTTGAATGAGTAATTTTTGCATCACACAGTTGTTCATTCTGGTGGGGTGTGGAGTGGTGTTCTTAGAGAGAGATGGAGTCATCGTAGCTGGAAACATTATTAGATCTACTTTTCTCGCTTTTTCTGGGCAGAGAACGGCGGGACTTTCACATTTCGGCCGTGGTACATTTGGTGCTACAGTGGTTAATCGGTTGTATTTAGTGGTCTATCGTCGCTTTCATGATTACGTACTCTCCCTAATATTTGAAGACTTTGAAACATTATGTTCTATCACGCAAGAGTAGCTTTCTCTATTAGTTCAGTCTTCAAGTTAAAAGTGGATATAAATGATGCAGACCGCCTAGATTAGGTTTCCTCAGAAAACACCGAGCAGACTGACAAGTGGATTTACGTTACAGAAAACTTCAGAAAATTTCTATCCCTGCCATATGCTCATAAAACGTACAATCTCTATTTGAAACGACTTCATGAAACTGATTAGGACCAAAAAATACCATGCACTGGGGATAGTTATGCTGCAAGAAACGTGGTTGCATCCTGACATTAACGACTCTTTGGTTAAGCTGGATTTATCTAATATGCATCGGTCGGGTAGAGACTGGTTACCACGAAATCGAGGCGGTGATCTAATAACCTACACCAAATCGTCTTGGTGTAAGTGTACAAGGCTTATCTTCACTTCAACGTAGGATATATCTCATGCCATGGTTTCGGGTACAAATTTTGATCAGTTCTTTGATCCAAGTGTCCCGGTCGAGTGTGAACACCTCACGAGTTATTTGAACTTCTGCCTTGACATCTGCTGCCATATATCCCCTACATACATCAGTCCCGCCAGATTTTCTTCTCCCACTTTGAAGACCCACAGAAGAACCAAGAAATGGGCGTATAAAAATCGCCATCGACCTTTTATTAAACAAACGTTAGTGCTGATCAAGAATGAGATCCAAAATCTTGACAAACTCTCCACTGAAACCCTTCTTGATCATCATAATTGCAAGCAAATCTGGAGCGCTATGAAAAAACTTTGTGGAACAAAAGTCAGACTACACGGGCCTCAATCCACAGCGGATGAACTCAATTGCATGTTTTCCACGTTAACTCAAACTGAAGTATCGTATCCTTAGTTCCAATCAGTTGGCCATCATGAATTATCACATATATACTCTAGTCAGTTGCGGGTACAGCTGAAGTGCCTCAAGATATCAAAAGCTTCCGGTCCCGACGGAATATGTCCAATCGTCCCCAGGGAAGGTGCGCATTATCTGGCGGAGTCACTTGTCGGTATTTTCAACCGCTGCTTCGAGGAACAAAGTATTGTCGACCGCTGGAGACCTGTGCGCATCAGACCAGTTTTCCAAAAAGCTGGGAAACTACGACTAATCGCTTGTACTTCTAGTTTACTAAACATTTTCGAAAAGTTTATCCTTAGTAACATTATTCCCAATAATGGGCAGCTAGATGACAATCAATTCGCTTATCACAACGTTCTACCTTAGATGCTCTCGCCGATTTGGTAAACTCAGTTTTGCAATCCCTAGAAATGCACGGCAAGGCATTTCATGTGTCTTCCTTGACTACAGTAACACTTATACCTGTGTTGACAGGAACAGGCTTTTGTCTCTACTCCAAGGTGCTGGATTGCCCTATAACACATTCTCTCTAAACCAAGATTATTTTACTGGTAGATCACAATTCACGAAGTTTCTTGGAAAACGTCAGCTCAGGGTGTTCGAAGGAGAAATTCTGTTCCCTTTTTTTCTATTTATGTATTTGTGACTTTTGACGGATAACTTACTACTCCAATACTGAAACGCAACACATACAACCACCAAGGAGAGCCCGGCAATGTTTTTGGAATCCAGAAGCTTGCGATCCTCCCAACAGAGCGTCGACTCCAGTGACATCGTACACTTCCGTGGTAATGATTTGCGACCCGTGTCTGGTATAGTCACACGATAAATGGGTCAAACCATGGTGG